GTGGGATGTTTCGCGGGGTGTCTCGTGGGATGTTTTGTGAGATGTCGCCCAGTTGGGTATCGTGAAAACGTGACCATGCTGCGCATGTCTATATCCCTTTCCGGGTTCGTGGGTCCATCATGTTTCCCGGAAATGGCATGGGCCCAGGGTTCTCTTTTAGATGGTCTTCCCCCCGGTTTTTACTTGAAGGGGGCCGGCGGAATTCTTGTGGGATAAATTACGAGGTCGAAGGGGGCCGGCGGATTTCAATTGTGAGGACGAAGGCCATTTTCGCCACCCCTCACGCAGATCGTGCTCTTGGAATTTTACTGCCTTTAAGGAAACCTCGATATTTCACAGGTGAAGTCAACTTTTTCCCGGAAAGGGCTTAAGCCCAGGGTTCTCTTTTAGTTGGTAAACCTAATCCCCCGGTGCCTGCTTGAAGGAGGCCGGCGAATTGCCGGCGAATTTTTTCCCTGATAAATAACGAGGTCGAAGGAGGCCGGCGAATTAAAATTTGAGGATGTCTCGAGCGAAACGCTTGTTTTTGAAATCCCGATCGATAAATCACAGGGTGCGGGCCACTTTTCGTGTGTTGAGGATGTCTCGAGCGAAACGCTTGCTCCGCAGAGTTTGCCGAGGATGTCTCGAGCGAAACGCTTGTTTTGCAGAGCCGACCGCGACGCGGAAAAGCGCCCCGCGCGAAGGATTTTCGATGATGTCTCGACTAATTCCTTTGTTTTTGTACGATTTCCTGGAATTTTGGCAGGATGTCTCGAGCGAAATGCACGACCCCACCCTAGCACGACCATACCCCAGCACGACCACACCCCAGCACGACCAGACCCCAGCACGACGCCCACCCCAGCACGACCACCCCCACGACCATACCCCATCAACGACCACGCCCCAGCACGAACACCGACCCCAGCACGACCTAACCCCAGCAAGACCACACCCCAGCACGACCACACCCCAGCACGACCTCAACCCACAGCACGACAACACCCAGCACGACCACGCCCCAGCACACCACGCCCCATCACTACCACTCCCCCCAGCACTACCACCCCCCATCCACGTACCACCTCCCCAGGCCGACCACCCCCAGCACGACCACCCCCCAGCACGACCACTCCCCAGCACGACCACACCCCAGCACGACCACACCCCAGCACGACCCGATCGATAAATCACAGGGTGCTGATCACCCCAGCACGAACCCACCCCAGCACGACCCCACCCCAGCACGACCCCACCCCAGCACGACCACGCCCCAGCATGACCACACCCCAGCACGACCACCCCCCAGCACGACCACTCCCCAGCACGACCCCACCCCAGCACGACCCCACCCTAGCACGACCACACCCCAGCACGACCACACCCCAGCACGTCCCCACCCCAGCACGATCACACCCCAGCACGACCCCACCCCAGCAAGACCACACCCCAGCACGACCGCACCCCAGCACGACCTAACCACAGCACGACCACACCCCAGCACGACCACGCCCCAGCACGACCACGCCCCAGCACGACCACGCCCCAGCACGACCACGCCCCAGCACGACCACGCCCCAGCACAACCACCCCCCAGCACGACCACCCCCCCAGCACGTCCACACCCCAGCACGACCACCCCCCAGCACGACCACACCCCAGCACGACCACTCCCCAGCACGACCACACCGCCTTGGTTGAGTGTTGCCTGTCGTCGTGGAATGTTTCGTGGGGTGTCTCGTGGAATGTTTCGCGGGGTGTCTCGTGAAATGTTTCGTGAGGTGTCTCGTGGAATGTTTCGTGAGGTGTCTCGTGGGCTGTTTCGTGAGGTGTCTCGTGGGATGTTTCGTGAGGTTTTGCCCAGTTGGGTATCATGAAAACGTGTCCATGCTCCACATGTCTATATCCCTTTCCGGGTTCGTGGGTCCATCATGTTTCCGACATCGACTTTAAACGATACAAAAACTAGGTAAACGCGTTCGCTCAATAAATAACGAGGTACCGCGGCCTCCGGAACGGCGCTGGGAACGGAGTTTTGGATTCTTGAAGTTGCGTAAGTTCGGAAATAGCAGAAATCCCTTGTGCTTTTTTACCCGGAAATGGCAAAGGCCCAGGGTTTTCTTTTTTAGTTTTAAACCTTAATCCCCCGTGACTGCTTGAGGGAGGCCGGCGAATTTTTTCCCTGATAAATAACGAGGTCGAAGGAGGCAGGCGAATTAAAATTTGAGGATGTCTCGAGCGAAACGCTTGTTTTTCAGAATTTGTTGAGGATGTCTCGAGCGAAACGCTGGTTTTGCAGAGTTGGGGATGTCTCGAGCGAAACGCTTGGGTTCAGAATTTGTTGAGGATGTCTCGAGCGAAACGCTGGTTTTGCAGAGCCGACCGCGACACGGAAAAGCGCTCCTCGCGCAGGAATTCCGAGGATGTCTCGACTAATTCGTTTGTTTTTGTGCGATTTCCTGGAATTTTGGCAGGATGTCTCGAGCGAAATGCACGACCCCACCCTAGCACGACCAAACCCCAGCACGACCACACCCCAGCACGACCACACCCCAGCACGACCCCTCCCCAGCACGAGCCCACCCCAGCACGACCACACCCCAGCACGACCACACCCCAGCACGACCCCACCCAAGCACGACCACACCCCAGCACGACCACGCCCCAGCACGACCACTCCCCAGCACGACCCCGCCCCAGCACGAGCCCACCCCAGCACGACCACCACCCCAGCAACCGACCCCACCCCAACACCCCATCAAACACCCACCACACATCACGACCACCCCCCCGCAACCTACCTACGACCCCATCACTACCAAACACCCAGCAACGACCCCACCCAGCAAGACCACCCCCGCACGGAGACCCCACACCCCAGCACGACCCTCACCACAGCCGACACACCCCAGCACGAACACTCGAAAGCGACGACCACGCCCCAGCACACCACTCCCCAGCCCGACACCCCCCAGCACGACCCCACCCCCGCACGACCCCACCCAAGCACGACCATACCCCAGCACGACCACACCCCAGCACGACCCGACCGCAGCACGAGCACGCCCCAGCAAGACCACACCCCAGCACGACCACACCCCAGCACGACCTCACCACAGCACGACCACACCCCAGCACGACCACGCCCCAGCACGACCACGCCCCAGCACGACCACGCCCCAGCACGACCACCCCCCAGCACGACCACCCCCCCAGCACGACCACCCCCCATCACGACCACCCCCCAGCACGACCACACCCCAGCACGACCACTCCCCAGCACGACCACACCCCAGCACGACCACACCCCAGCACGACCACACCCAGTCGCACCCCCGTGGAATGTTTCGTGTCGTGTCTGGTTGAGTGGTTGCCTGTTCGTGGGGTGTCTCGTGGAATGTTTCAAAGGGTGTCTCGTGGAATGTTTCGTGAGGTGTCTCGTGGTTTTTCGTGATGGTGTCTCGTTGGTTGTTTCGTGAGGTGTCCTCGTTGGATTTTCGCGGGTGTCTCGTGGGATGTTTCGTGAGATGTCGCCAGTTGGGGGTATCGTGAAAACGTGACATTGCTGCACATCAATGTCCTTTAATCCCTTTCCGGGTTCGTGGGTCCATCATGTTTTTCGGCCGCTACCCCGCCATCTGCGCGAGGTGTTGGGCACAAAAAATACCGAAATGTGGCAAAATCCCATGTGTTTTTTGACCCTGACCCCGCCGATCTGCGTGAGGTGTGGCACGGAATGCCAGAAATGTGTCAAATCCCCTGTGTTTTTGGACCCTGACCCCGCCGATCTGCGTGAGGGGTGGCGCGGAATTCAGAAATGTGGCAAATCTCTATGTTTTTGGACCCTGACCCCGCCGATCTGCGTGAGGGGTGGCACGGAATTTCAGAAATGTGGCAAATCCCCTGTGTTTTTTCGGACACTTGACTCGCAGGAGGCTTCAGGAGAGCCCGAGGGCCCAGGATGGGCCCAGAGAGCCCAGGAGTGCCAGCGGACCCGGAGGCTCCAATAGCACTCAAAGGGGCCCAAGGGCCCAGGAAGAAGCTCCAGGAATGCGCCAGGAGAGCCCAGGAGGGGCCCAATAGGTCCAAGGAAGACCCAGGAGGGCCCAGGAGCCCTTACGAGGGATCGTGGCCCTGGGAGCGCTGACGTAGCGTAATTTACGAGGGATCGTGGCCCTGGGAGCGCTGGTGCAGTGTAATTTACGAGGGATCGTAGCCCTGGGAGCGCGGACGTAGTGTAATTTACAAGGGATCGCGGCCTTGGGAGCGCGGGCGCAGCGTAATTCAATGGTTTTCGCGTTCTCGCGTTTTCTGGTTGTCG